ATGACTACCTGAACAGTCTTTGTATCTATTATAGACATGTTTGTGCAGTGGCAAACCTATTGGACCTAGGTCTTCAGTGTGTGACAGGTTCGTGATTCTGAAAGGACAGCAACGGTAATACCAGCGCACTCATGTAGGAGAGTGCACTTTTTGTAAAACACAAAGGGCCAGTGGTGTAGTGGAAACTATGCAGGTATATACCGTATACACACTTTTTTTCAGTGGGTATTGCGTATACTCACTTCTTAATCCCCACTGATGCTTATCAAAGTAGTGTAGTGGAGGTATACGATTTATCAATTATGTAGTACAATAGTGAAAAGTAGCCTACACAATCGCAAAGCACGTGAAATGTATTCACATGCGCGCAAAATATAATCTGCAGGCAGCAAGAGCGCGCAGCTCTCAACTGGTTTTGGCATGGCATGGAGCAGCTCACAGAAGAAAGTCATCGGTAGCCGGTAGGTAGGAAATACTTTTCAATTTATGTAAATGCTAACTAAGGCAACAATAGGTATGCAAACCAGGTATTGAAAAAGTTTGGTCTGAAGTCTTGGTTAGTAGGCTTTTTGTGATGTGCAATTCAGTCATCATGAGCTGTTTTGCAACAGGGGCATAGGCATGAGTGGGCCTTGGTGACCGTGGACACAGTCCCACCCACTGGGGAGCCAGGCCCACCCAATCAGATTGAGCAAAAACAAAAAAATAATACATTATTATTACAAAAAACACAGTTCCACTCACCAGCTGATGATAATTTGAAACAGCCCTTTCCTGCAGTCAATGACCAAAAGCACCCTCTTTGGCCTCATGGGTGGAATGTTATTAATATTTTTCAACATAATTAATAAAGATCTACAAATCTTTTGACAAAAACCCGGTGTTTCTATTTCAAACTGTTTTGTTATATCTCAGTCTTCTGTAATGTATAAACAGTGGCTTGCGAAAATAATCACACCCCTTGGCATTTTTCCTATTTTGTTGCCTTACAACCTGGAATTAAAATAGATTTTTTGGGGGTTTGTATCATTTGATTTACACAACATGGCTACCACTTTGAAGATGCAAAATATTTTTCTTGTGAAACAAACAAGAAATAAGACAAAAAAACAGAAAACTTGAGCGTGCATAACTATTCACCCCCCCCCCCAAAGTCAATACTTTGTAGAGCCACCTTTTGCAGCAATTACAGCTGCAAGTCTCTTGGGGTATGTCTCTATAAGCATGGCACATCTAGCCACTGGGATTTTTGCCCATTATTCAAGGCAAAACTGCTCCAGCTCCTTCAAGTTGGATGGGTTCCACTGGTGTACAGCAATCTTTAAGTCATACCACAGATTCTCAATTGGATTGAGGTCTGGGCTTTGACTAGGCCATTCCAAGACATTTAAATGTTTCCCCTTAAACCACTCGAGTGTTGCTTTAGCAGTATGTTTAGGGTCATTGTCCTGCTGGAAGGTGAACCTCCATCCCAGTCTCAATTATCTGGAAGACTGAAACAGGTTTCCCTCAATAATTTCCCTGTATTTAACGCCATCCATCATTGGAGCAATGCAGAGAACAGTAGGCTCAAATCAACAGCCTGGTCTCATAAACTAGACGTAACATAGTAAATTTAAATCCGGAACACTCAATTATAGTATGATCTGTAATGTTTGGTATGGTTACATAAGACAGAAGGTTACTTAAGGCAAAAACGAAAGGTATAACGCAAACATCTAGCAACCCAAAGGTTGCGTGTTCGAATCTCATCACGGACAACTTTAGCATTTTAGCTAATTAGCAACATTTCAACTACTAACTACTTTTTTCCTACTTTGCAACTACTTAATACGTTAGCTAACCATAACCCTAACCTTAACCCTTTAACCTAACTCCTAACCTTAACCCTAACCCCTAGCTAACGTTAGCATTAGCCACCTAGCCAATGTTAGCCAAAACAAATTATAATTCGTAACATATTGTACTTTTAGCAAATTCGTATCATATCATAGGAATTATAATTCGTAACATATCATACGAAGTGGATGATGGACATCCACAAATTAATACATACCATACAAACATAATATAACATAGTAACTGGAGTATACAGAATAATACGAAATGTTCTGAGACCAGGTTGCAATCAGAGCTCACGATGCTCTTCACACGCACCCAATTCCCATCACTTCGAAGTAGTACCACTACACACAACACAGCCAGATTTACATTAGGGTATCACATAAAAACGAACTAGGATAGAGCATGTGATTGTACAGTAGCCTATACATTATGAATGTAAAATCCCTCCCCCTCTCTCTGTCACACACACACACACTACAGGAGAGAATGGCATGTCATACAAAACATGACGACCGGTTTTTACAACTGTGTGAATTTAATTCTACAATAGACCCATCTGGATAAAAATAAATACCTGCAATACATTGGAATCCTTTTCTCGGAATGTAGCCTATTATAAGCATTCAGGCAACGTTGTTTCGTTTGAGTTGCGACATACCACGGCAATGCAACATTGTCTGAAAGCCCCGCTATCGTTCTGCTTTTCTGTATGAGTAAATAACGGTACGGTCGTGTCGTTTTACGCACCAAAGGCAGCTATGGAAAGAGCTCTCCTGTTTTCGAAACTGTCCGCGTGGTTGCGCACGGAGACGTCACGAATCGTGCCAGTCCAGCCGAGGTCAGAAATAGAGGCACGCAACTGCTGTTTCAAACAAGAAAATCGTTGAACAAGTGTGCGGTTTGTATAGACTATATTGAGTTGTATAGGCATGCTATGCAACTCGAAAAAATTAACCAGTCAACCACATTTCTTAGATATGAAGCCACTTGTCATGTCGCCATATGGGCGCCTATGTTTCAATGCTGTAACACACGACGATGGTGAAATATTGTCAGCCTGTGTGTGTGTGGTGGCTCCCTATGGTATGGCTATACTCACTTCATTGAAATTAGATCAACGACATTCATGGATTGATGATGATAATGATGATGATTAATCATGACGATGGTGATATGCAATTGGCCTATGATCGTTTGTTACAAGATGTCATGTCTTTATTATGGCACGTGTGCTGTATTATCCCCAAAACATTATCTTGGGATGTGTTTGGTTCTTGCGCCGCTCTGTGGAAGTAAAATGGAACTGTTATTTATAAGTAGCCTAGGCCTACTGTAGTTCTGCCCTCATCCTTTCACGTTGCCTTTCACATTGGAATAACCACACGTCTATGGCCTAATACTCCGATACATTTATTTTTTATTTTTAATGCATGGAATATACCTGATTAATAAATGTAGCATATTATTATTATTATTATTATACAGTAATACACAGTAAGTATACCTACACTGATGGAACAGAACAGTTGTGGACATAATATGAGCTCTTAGAAAAAAAACTGCTCTAAATGTTTCATAATTAGTAAGTGCCATGTCACAAAACAACTTGAGACAATGACAGCTAGAGTGTAACTTACTTGGATATTTGAAGGTGAAAGGAAGTGGAGAGGGATGTCACAGAATGCAGTACAGTTATTGAGAAAGAGAGGTCTGTGTGTGTGTGTGTGTGTGTGTGTGTGTGTGTGTGTGTGCATGCCTGTGCCTGCAGGTTTGTTTATGTGAAATATGTATTTGTGTGTTTCGAGAGGGAGAGATGGAAAGATTTTTTAGGTACTGGAGGTATAGGGATGAGAAGATACAAATATTAAGAAAAAGAACGTGACAACAACAATGCAGCTGTGAGAAAGATAACAGGAAACCAGAGACAATCATCTATGAATGAATGAGGAACTATATTTCTATGCATTACTGCATTGGATGCCAACGTCTGCCTTGCACTGTGCATTGTGCAGTATTTTCATTCATTTCTGCTAACTTTTCATTATTCGTATTGAGAGTGTATTTCAGTGTTAGTTGACCTTATGGTAAACCAATGAGAGCTACTTTGGTCATAGTTAAACGTAGGCCCCATTTCAGTCAATCACAGATAAAGGAAATCGCACTGCGGGTTCACTCAGGGGCGAATCCTCAATCATAACTTCCACTTAAGTAAAATGTTTCCTATGTATTTTAAATTAAGGACAGATGTGGTTTCACATAACCAATGACAAAGTCTGCGAGAGGAACAACTTGTGGGGTGGGACAGTTTTAACATGGTTCACAGAGCTATACATTCTGAGTCATCCCGCTCCCGCAGTGTTATGAATTGGGTCCTCCTGAGTCTGTCTGACTAAGTTCAGCTCACTCTTTCATTCTCTACAGTCCTCCTATCTCTGTTGTCATTTGTTAAGTTGCGGTCCTTCACTCTTCCTGTGTGTGTGTGTGTGGGTGGGGGCACGTGACTGCCACTTTGTTCTTTGTGCTCAAAGTTCTCTAACATGACAAAAGCAGAATGTGCACCAAATAGAGAGTGCTAGGTTACATGTAGGCAACAGGGTAAAGATTCAGCTCAGCTTATGCAAGTTATTGTTTCTTTTCCTAAGAATGAGACTGGTAAAGTGACAGACATGAGCAGTTGTTAATTTTTTTTTAAAGAAGAAAAAAAGAGGACATGATAATTGTAGATGCATGCACATACTGTATAACATATGGTATGTGTATGCACAACTTAGGACATCATAATTATGTAATAGGAGAATTTGGGGAAAAGAGCAAGTCCCACCCCCAACCAAAAAAAAAGAGAGAGGAGAGAGGAGGAGAAGTGAGATCTTAGAGCGATGAGGAGAGAGAGAGGAGAGATGAGAGAGAGAGAGTCAGGCATGGAGATGAGAGAGAGAGAGAGAGGAGATCGATACGATAGGATAGGATATCTAGGAGTTTATGTCTCTACCGCTGAGAGCTGATCTCTGTCTCTCTCTCTCTTCTCTATCTCTCTTCTCTCTCTCTCTCTCTCTCTCTCTCTCTCTCTCTCGCTCTCTATCTCTCTCTCTCTCTCTCTCTCTCTCTCTCTCTCTCTCTCTCTCTCTCTCTCTCTCTCTCTCTCTCTCGACACACAGCAGTTGATGTAGAGGAGGAAAGAGATGTTCAGACATCCATTGTTACAGCCGTCTTGTGGCGACCTATTTTAAATGTCAACATGGACTTCGACTACCAGCGCTTAAAAGGTCAGGCTTATACTTTTAACCGTTTTATATTCAGTCAGAACTATGTAGGAACGATGATTTCATTACTAAATCATTTAATATCATTGCTATTGTTTACCATTGCTTACATTTTTGTTGCCTTTGTTAACAAACAATGTATAGTTTAGAAATATGTTTAAAAAGATCATATCGTTATCTCACAGACTGTGAGTCCTGGCCATAGCTCAATCTATGAATTTGAGAGTGGTTACATTTCCCTATCCCAATCATTCAGCTTTATACCAAACCAAGTCACGGGTCTGCTGTTGGGCTGAAAGAGTTAGAGAGACAGGTTTGTCTCCGCACCTGAAGATTGTGTTAGCCCACTAAGCTCAAACCTACAGTTTTTAGCTGTGGGAGCTAAGGCAGGTCTCAGAAAAAGGTTACTCATCACACAAGAGTAGGTACCTGATTACCTTGGTTACACTCCACCACTAAGATACCAACAGCTAATAGGCATCAACTGACCAAATCTGAGTCACAGCAAAAATGTGACCAACTGGGTTAGAAAAAAATCTAAAATTCTGCTTGTTATAAAATAGATTCTTTGTGTGAATTCTACTAGGTGCATCCTATGCACTAATGTGAGCATTGCATTATCTACAGTATTACAGTGGGGAATTTTTTTTATTTAGTCAGCCACCAATTGTGCAAGTTCTCCCACTTAAAAAGATGAGAGAGGCCTGTAATTTTCATCATAGGTACACGTCAACTATGACAGACAAAATGAGAAAAATAAATCCAGAAAATCACATTGTAGGATTTTTTATGAATTTATTTGCAAATTATGGTGGAAAATAAGTATTTGGTCAATAACAAAAGTTTCTCAATACTTTGTTATATACCCTTTGTTGGCAATGACACAGGTCAAACATTTTCTGTAAGTCTTCACAAGGTTTTCACACACTGTTGCTGGTATTTTGGCCCATTCCTCCATGCAGATCTCCTCTAGAGCAGTGATGTTTTGGGGCTGTCGCTGGGCAAAACAGACTTTCAACTCCCTCCAAAGATTTTCTATGGGGTTGAGATCTGGAGACTGGCTAGGCCACTCCAGGACCTTGAAATGCTTCTTACGAAGCCACTCCTTCGTTGCCCGGGCGGTGTGTTTGGGATCATTGTCATGCTGAAAGACCCAGCCACGTTTCATCTTCAATGCCCTTGCTGATGGAAGGAGGTTTTCACTCAAAATCTCACGATACATGGCCCCATTCATTCTTTCCTTTACACGGATCAGTCGTCCTGGTCCCTTTGCAGAAAAACAGCCCCAAAGCATGATGTTTCCACCCCCATGCTTCACAGTAGGTATGGTGTTCTTTGGATGCAACTCAGCATTCTTTGTCCTCCAAACACGACGAGTTGAGTTTTTACCAAAAAGTTCTATTTTGGTTTCATCTGACCATATGACATTCTCCCAATCCTCTTCTGGATCATCCAAATGCACTCTAGCAAACTTCAGACGGGCCTGGACATGTACTGGCTTAAGCAGGGGGACACGTCTGGCACTGCAGGATTTGAGTCCCTGGCGGCGTAGTGTGTTACTGATGGTAGGCTTTGTTACTTTGGTCCCAGCTCTCTGCAGGTCATTCACTAGGTCCCCCCGTGTGGTTCTGGGATTTTTGCTCACCGTTCTTGTGATCATTTTGACCCCATGGGGTGAGATCTTGCGTGGAGCCCCAGATCGAGGGAGATTATCAGTGGTCTTGTATGTCTTCCATTTCCTAATAATTGCTCCCACGGTTGATTTCTTCAAACCAAGCTGCTTACCTATTGCAGATTCAGTCTTCCCAGCCTGGTGCAGGTCTACAATTTTGTTTCTGGTGTCATTTGACAGCTCTTTGGTCTTGGCCATAGTGGAGTTTGGAGTGTGACTGTTTGAGGTTGTGGACAGGTGTCTTTTATACTGATAACAAGTTCAAACAGGTGCCATTAATACAGGTAACGAGTGGAGGACAGAAGAGCCTCTTAAAGAAGAAGTTACAGGTCTGTGAGAGCCAGAAATCTTGCTTGTTTGTAGGTGACCAAATACTTATTTTCCACCATAATTTGCAAATAAATAAATTAAAAATCCTACAATGTGATTTTCTGGAGAAAAAAAATCTCAATTTGTCTGTCATAGTTGACGTGTAACTATGATGAAAATTACAGGCCTCTCTCATATTTTTAAGTGGGAGAACTTGCACAATTGGTGGCTGACTAAATACTTTTTTTCCCCACTGTATCTACAATACCTGAAGTTGATGCTAAAAGTGATCTGAATTGCTTTATTGTCAGAGAAAGTATGCACTTTACACCATTTGAACTTCCATTAATTGCTATGTTTTTTATGTTGTCTTGTGTCTCATGTATTTTACTACAGTGCCTTCAGAAAGTATTCACACCCCTTGACTTTTTCCACATTTTGTTGTGTTACAGCCTGAATTCAAAATTGATTAAATATTTTTTTTCTACACACAATACCCCATTATGACAAAGTGAAAACATCAAAATCCCCATCAAAATCTGTCAATTTAAGATAGAAAGGGGAGACTCTCACAAACATGATGGTGTCTGAAGGTAACCCATATAAACAAATGGAAGTATGGAGGTAGTTTTGTGCCAACAAAAATGAGGGGTTAAATATGTGTCCAAAAAAACAAAACTATTTCTTGAGCTTTCTTATATCTCCTAGATATAGGACAGACACTTCAAAACCTTATTCCTTATGATGTATTGTCTTTTTTGCCATTTATGAATTTGTTATTCAATGCATTCAATGGGCTATAGTAGTAACGGCCAAATTCAAATTTTTTATCAAATCATTTTTTTATATATATTTTTTTATACCTAAAGGGGGTCCTAAAATTCAAAATCAAATAGCTAAATGATCCATGGTATGACCATCTTAAAACAATTCCAAATGTTCGCTTAGACTTTTAGAAGTGAATCCATTTTAAATTCAGGCTGTAACACAACAACATGTGGAAAAAGTCAAGGGGTGTGAATACTTTCTGAAGGCAGGGTTCACTTGTAAAATAAATGTACATCTCAATGTGAATTCTCATTTTTTTAAACAAATATAATTTAAAAGATAATAATACTTTTTTACAACTTGCTACGGTGTTGATGTGTAGTAGACCTACATACTAAAGTGAAAACAATTATTAGGTCATACTGTACTGTTATTAAGCCCATAATATTTTGTTAGTACATAATATTGTGTTAGTTAAATGTAAAAAATACTATTTCTGTGGCCGTCACTTTTGTGATGGTTAATGGTTAGCTTTATAGATTATTTTGTGTTGGTTTGCAGATGTTGAAAGCCTCAGGCGAGAAGAGCGAATCAGCTGCCTGCCTATCCAAACTCAAAAGCCTGTACCACCACACCATTCTGCTGAAGACCCGCCCACCCGCCAGACTCTTCCAATCAAACCCAGGCGGAGCTTAAAGGTCCCCAAAACCCCTCGGGAGGAGGTGGCGCTACCAGCCAAACAAACCAATGGCCAGGAGAATGAGGTTACAGAATAAAAATTTGACATTAGATTTGCCATCAGATCCCAGATCAGTGGAAACTCTACTATTGGGTCAAAATACTGAAATGTGCATGCTTTTCAATAGTGTTTTCTATGCTTGGTAGACACGACACAGACAAGCATTTGTACAATAAGTTCTACTGAATGTGAATGCTTGTTTTCTAAAATGCATGTCTGTGTATTTGTAGAGGACTTCCCGTAAGCCTCCAGTCAGATTGTCATGTCTGAAACCAGCAGCCAAGCTTTACACCCTAAACCACACAGTGCAGTTAGAGACAGACAACTTCCTGTGGCTTGGTCAATAAAAACAGCCATTTCATGGTGGGATAGAAACGTTAAAATAAAGAGAACTGAAAGTTACCGCTCTACGTTCAGCGTTGCGTGGGTCAGCCCAGTTCAGATTCTGTCTCTAGAGCCTTCTCTAAGATCCTACCGGTTTGATATGCATAAATGGGAAAGGATAGGTTAAATACTATGATGTGTTTATTTGGCCTATGAAGGTTTATACCATACACACTTTGACTTACACACTTTAGGCCTGGTTGTCCACTGGCAGCACAGTAACAGTAGCAGATGCCGGGGACAGTCTTGCCTTGCTGGTTTGTGACAGAGAGCACCAACTGGATGTGCTGCGGGTAAGGCCCAATGTCCAGGATGGCATGTAGGCCACTTTCATGTAGTTGACTGCACGCTGGAACAAAAAAGGCATGGATTAGCATATCAAGTGTTTAAAATGTAACTGTCTTCTCTTGCTAAGGTAACTTCTGTGGGAACGTATCCAAGCTTACCTGTGTGAACAACAGCTGTGTTCTCCCTCTCCTACCCTCTCTCTCTTTCCTTCCCTCTTTCAGACAAGGTGGAGCTATACATATTGCTTATAGTTGGTAGGTGCTCTTTCTGGACCGGACCTTGTTCTCTCATACTCTCTCCTTTTTCCCCTTTTTGTTTTCTGTTCAGTATGACCTTTAAATCTCCACAATAATGGAAAGATACCCGACAGCACAACAGAGAAACTATTGAATATGCATATACAGTGGGGAGAACAAGTATTTGATACACTGCCGATTTTGCAGGTTTTCCTACTTACAAAGCATGTAGAGGTCTGTAATTTTTATCATAGGTACACTTGAACTGTGAGAGACGGAATCTAAAACAAAAATCCAGAAAATCACATTGCATGATTTTTAAGTAATTCATTTGCATTTTATTGCATGACATAAGTATTTGATCACCTACCAACCAGTAAGAATTCCGGCTCTCACATACCTGTTAGTTTTTCTTTAAGAAGCCCTCCTGTTCTCCACTCATTACCTGTATTAACTGCACCTGTTTGAACTTGTTACCTGTATAAAAGACACCTGTCCACACACTCAATCAAACAGACTCCAACCTCTCCACAAAGGCCAAGATCAAAGAGCTGTGTAAGGACATCAGGGATAAAATTGTAGACCTGCACAAGGCTGGGATGGGCTACAGGACAATAGGCAAGCAGCTTGGTGAGAAGGCAACAACTGTTGGCGCAATTATTAGAAAATGGAAGAAGTTCAAGATGACGGTCAATCACCCTCGGTCTGGGGCTCCATGCAAGATCTCACCTCGTGGGGCATCAATGATAATGAGGAAGGTGAGGGATCACCCCAGAACTACACGGCAGGACCTGGTCAATGACCTGAAGAGAGCTGGGACCACAGTCTCAAAGAAAACCATTAGTAACACACTACGCCGTCATGGATTAAAATCCTGCAGCACACCAAGGTCCCCCTGCTCAAGCCAGCGCATGTCCAGGCCCGTCTGAAGTTTGCCAATGACCATCTGGATGATCCAGAGGAGGAATGGGAGAAGGTCATGTGGTCTGATGAGACAAAAATATAGCTTTTTGGTCTAAACTCCACTCGCCGTGTTTGGAGGAAGAAGAAGGATGAGTACAACCCCAAGAACACCATCCCAACCGTGAAGCATGGAGGTGGAAACATCATTCTTTGGGGATGCTTTTCTGCAAAGGGGACAGGACGACTGCACCGTATTGAGGGGAGGATGGATGGGGCCATGTATCGTGACATCTTGGCCAACAACCTCCTTCCCTCAGTAAGAGCATTGAAGATGGGTCGTGGCTGGGTCTTCCAGCATGACAACGACCCGAAACACACAGCCAGGGCAACTAAGGAGTGGCTCTGTAAGAAGCATCTCAAGGTCCTGGAGTGGCCTAGCCAGTCTCCAGACCTGAACCCAATAGAACATCTTTGGAGGGAGCTGAAAGTCCGTATTGCCCAGCGACAGCCCCGAAACCTGAAGGATCTGGAGAAGGTCTGTATGGAGGAGTGGGCCAAAATCCCTGCTGCAGTGTGTGCAAACCTGGTCAAGACCTACAGGAAACGTATGATCTCTGTAATTGCAAACAAAGGTTTCTGTACCAAATATTAAGTTCTGCTTTTCTGATGTATCAAATACTTATGTCATGCAATAAAATGCAAATTAATTACTTAAAAATCATACAATGTGATTTTCTGGATTTTTGTTTTAGATTCCGTCTCTCACAGTTGAAGTGTACCTATGATAAAAATTACAGACCTCTACATGCTTTGTAAGTAGGAAAACCTGCAAAATCGGCAGTGTATCAAATACTTGTTCTCCCCACTGTAAATCTCACAACCCTCCCTGTCTATCTCCCTCTATCCCTCCCTCTCTCAGACAGTAGTGAAGAGGGTGTCTCCTGCTCTGACTCTGGGTCGCCCCGGGCCCCTGGAGCCCTTGTCCCCGTCCCTTCGGGCCCACACCCTGCTGTGGTTCGAGAGGACACAGCTCCCCCGCCTGCGTCGGCCTGGCCGCCCCATGCCCCACTGGCTACACGGGTTCGCCACGCGCAGGTCTGTCTGTCAGACTGCTAGCACACACAGAAACATATACTGGTATACATATTATCTGCAATAGAAAAAAAGAAACATGGCGCATGCAGGGAAACAAGTGCAAATGCAAAAAGACCACAGACACACATGCACACACGTACAATCAAACACACATAAAACGCACACATGCACACACACACACACACGACCACAGATGATACGACACATACAAAGGGATACACATACTCATCTTGACCATTCCCACTTTGAAAGCCTCAGATGGCTCAAAGTGGAGGAGAGATTCTCTTAGATTTAAATTGTGTCTTGTATATAAGATTGTCCACAGTATGGTCCCCAAGTACCTATGTAATTATACTGAACGAAAATATAAACGCTACATGCAACAATTTCAAAGATTTTGATGAGTTACAGTTCATAAAAGGAAATAAGTCAATTGAAACACATTCATTAGGCCCTAATCTATGGATTTCACATGACTGGGTAGGGGCGCATCCAATCCAATCAGAATGAGTTTTTCCCCACAAAAGGGCTTTATTACAGACAGAAATACTCCTCAGTTTCATCAGTTGTCCGGGTGGCGGGTCTCAGATGATCCCACAGATGAAGAAGCCGGATGTGGAGGTCCTTGGCTGGCGTGGTTACATGTGGTCTGCGGTTGTGAGGCCGGTTGGACTTACTGGCAAATTCTCTAAAACGACATTGGAGGCGACTTATGATAGACAAATGAAAATGGAATTCTCTGGCAACAGCTCTGGTGGACATTCCTGCAGTCATCACGATAATTGTGGCATTGTGTTGTGTGACAAAACTGCATATTTTGTGGCCTTTTATTGATCCCAGCACAAGGTGCACCTGTGTAATGATCATGCTGTTTAATCAGCTTCTTGATATGCCACACCTGTCAGGTGGATGGATTATCTTGACAAAGGATAAAATGCTCCCAACCTGGGATGTAAACAAATTTGTGCACAAACTTTGAGAGAGTTAAGCTTTTTGTGCGTATGGAAAATGTAAGGGATCTTTTATTTCAGCTCATGAAACATGGGACCAACACTTTACATGTTGCATTTATATTTTTGTTCAGTGTACTTTAACTTGGTCAGGGATAACCATAACTATTCCACTAGAAGAAGTGAAACTGACTTTGTTCCTTTCAGATTTAAGAGTGGTATGGGAGGGAAACCTGTTTGTACTCAGCTGCCATTCTTTGGAATAGTCTTCCAAAGACCTTGAAATTCATAACCTCCATGATCGGTTCTCACTGAAAATATTGCTAAATAGTAGCATGTCTCTAAAGTGAGCAGTAGGCCTACAGAACGTGGGTGAGATAAAAAAATTTTTTTAAAGTATAATATATTCAATATCAAACAGGGCATATTCATATTCACACACACACACACACACACACATTTCTCACTTAGAGAAACAGGTGTACATGCCATTGAACCCAAATCTGGGACTGTGCAGAATTCTCTAAAACAAGCATTTTGTACCTCCTTGTTTCGGGCCATTTGGTACCGTTTTGTGTCTAGTGAATACGATCCAGGTTTGAAGAACACTGTTCGAAAGCTATTTTGTTGCCTTACAACCTGGAATTAAAATGGATTTTTGTGGGGTTTGTATCATTTGATTTACACAACATGCCTACGACTTTGAAGATGCAAAATATTTTTTTGTGTGAAAAAAACAAGAAATAAGACAAAAAATAGAAAACTTGAGTGTGCATAACTATTCACCCCCCCAAAGTCAATACTTTGTAGAGCCACCTTTTGCAGCAATTACAGTTGCAAGTCTCTTGGGGTATGTCTCTATAAGCTTGGCACATCTAGCCACTGGGATTTTTGCCCATTCTTCAAGGCAAAACTGCTCCAGCTCCTTCAAGTTGGATGGGTTCCGCTGGTGTACAGCAATCTTTAAGTCATACCACAGACTCTCAATTGAATTGAGGTCTGGGCTTTGACTAGGCCATTCCAATACATTTAAATGTTTCCCCTTAAACCACTAGAGTGTTGCTTTAGCAGTATGTTTAGGGTCATTGTCCTGCTGGAATGTGAACCTCCGTCCCTGTCTCAAATCTCTGGAAGACTGAAACAGGTTTCCCTCAATAATTTCCCTGTATTTAGCGCCATCCATTCTTCAATTCTGACCAGTTTCCCAGTCCCTGCCGATGAAAAACCTGCTTGCTTGGTGGTGCCCCTTGCTTAGTGGTGTTGCAGACTCTGGGGCCTTTCAGAACAGGTGTATATATACTGAGATCATGTGACACTTAGATTGCACACAGGTGGACTTTATTTAACTAATTATGTGACTTCTGAAGATAATTGGTTGCACCAGATCTTATTTAGGGGCTTCATAGCAAAGGGGGTGAATACATATGCACGCACCACTTTTCAGTTATTTATTTTTTAGAATTTTTTGAAACAAGTTATTTTTTTCATTTCACTTCACCAATTTGGACTATTTTGTGTATGTCCATTCCATGAAATCCAAATAAAAATCAATTTAAATTACAGGTTGTAATGCAACAAAATAGGAAAAATGCCAAGGGGGCTGAATACTTTTGCAAGGCACTGTAAAGTGTAATATTGGGATGCAAACCAAAAATATATAAATTTCAACTCTATATCTGACATGGTACAGGTGTCTTTTTTTAAGCCCATAACCATGTGAGGTGTATACTTTTGTTTCAAAGTAGATTTGTTAAAGACTATCAAGAATCACTGTGTGACCCTGATTTAGCCCACTGCAGTAGAAGTTTAACTTCTTGTTGAAAGTTATTCTTGGAAAGGGAGAATCTAACAAATTAGCAATTTTGAATACTTTTGCAAGGCACTGTATTCGGACCAAGCATAACTTGGCTTTTACTCAGCACCAGAGGGGACCAAATAAGGAGTGACACACACACATCATGAGTCAAAGCAAAGACACATAATTGTACACACATACGTGCTGTGTTTGTACAGCTTATGCAGTCTGAATTGTTCTCACTTTTCTCTCTGTGTGTGTGTGTGTGTGTGTCGTTCTCTCTCTTGACTGTTTGGATAGGGAGGCAGAGGAGCTTCTAAAGGACAAGCAGCAGGGCTGTTTTCTGCTCAGGCTCAGCGAGTCAAAGATTGGTTTTGTACTCTCGTACAGGTAAAGTCACAACAGACCGCACACATACACACACACACCTAAAGACATTTTTAGACAGACACTTTTCCCCCCAGAGGAATGGATAGGTGCCGCCATTTCATCATAGAGGAGGAAGAGGGTGGCAGAGGGTCGTGTTACCTCATCGCTGGGGAGGAGAGTCGCCATAAAAGCCTGCAGGAGCTGGTCAGCTACTACACCCAGTATCCTGTGGGGCCCTTCAATGAGATTCTCACCATACCCTTTGACGAGGTGCCGAGTACATATTCCACACCATGCCTCCTTCATAAACCAAAGGGAAATAGTCATTGGCACCACCTAAACATCTAACAAACGTACATTTTGTGGCAAACTATCCTTTTAGGTAAACTCAACTGCAACAGTTTGTTTCTCAATCTCTCTCTCTCTCAGTCCAGTGAAGCTTGTGAGGGTACAGTTAAACTGGGGTTGCAGGATGAAGGTGGAGAGAAGACGGAAGCGTCATCATCTGCACCCTCGGCTCCTGCCACTGTCCAAGTCCAAGAGATATTGGCCAGCTCAGCCCCTACGAACGACAGAACGCCAGAGTATGCTGTGGTGAAGAAGGTGCTAAAAAAGTCCCGTTCTCTACCAGAAAACCAGCTTGGGGAACTGTTGGAGGTGAGGAACTATTCTCACTTTAACATTTGTAAGTTAAACAAACCTGCAAAAAAAGTCAATGCTGTTAATGGATTTACAGACTACATGACAAAACAAATTCCAGGTGACAAATCTGATCCTCCCCCAAGATGTGGCAAAACCTGGCGTTAGCTGTGCAGGAGCATTTGGGGGGGGAGATGACGCCTCCGACGCACTGTACGCCCGGGTGAACAAGCCACCAAGCATGCTTTCCCAGACAGACACATCTCCCTACGTCAATGTGTGCAACCCTCCAGGCCAGAAGGGGGTGACAGCGTCCTCCGTCCCCCTCATGTGCCGTGGCTCGGTGGGGGACCCAGTCTACTGGAAGCTGGATCCCCTGCACACCTACGAGGAAACCCCTCATCTGGTTCAACGTGAAGAAGAAGAAGAGGCAAAGGAACACATTGACTTTCACGCCATGGGGCGCTGGCGGGATGCCGAGAGGAGTGCTGGTGGGCGAGGTGAAAGACAAGACTAGCTACAAAAAACAAGCTACCTGAAATTACACAATACACATTTTTGCATTAAAGTTTTAGCTGCTCCTTAGTTTTGTGTTCTATTTATACAGCCCCATTGAGCACTTTTTTTTTTCATGCCTAGAATGAACATATGACTGTATACATGTATTACAATATATCCGCTCTCCTTTGCAGACCCCCAGCATCACCTCTACTCAGAGGTAAACCTAAGAACAAGAGAGGCCCCCAGTCACACCCCCCTTCCAGCCAGGACAGCCCCCAACCGGCCTTTACGACTGCCTCCCAGGCCCGTTAACTGCCCCCCTCAACAGGACGGAAGTGTGCAGGTATTGGAACACCAAACATATTTTGTTGTGCATATATTATCTACTCCAGGGGTGTCAAACTCATTCCATGGAGGGCCTAGTGTCTGCAGGTTTTTGTTTTTTTCCTTTAAATTAAGGACCTAGACAACCAGGGAAAGGGAGTTCTTTATTAATTAGTGATCTTAATTCATCACTCAAGTACACGGTAATGAAACCCCGCAGACACTCGGCCCTCAGTTTGACATGAGATCTACACCATTTTGGTAAGGAGGTTGGCAATAAAGAAAATTATTAGCTAATGGAATTCTAAATAACTGATGTTAAATCAGGCTTTTTCAATAATTGAGTAAAAATTACATATTGGTAGATAGGTCGTTTGAAAATATTAGATAAAAAAATACATATTTTATATAAAAGTACTTTGATAAGATGTTTCATTTTTTACACCCATATTTTTTCCCATACATTTTTCTAGCGATGTGGAGATCCCATCTTGTTGTCCTCTTCCCCATCCCGACCTGGGGTCTTTCTGACACCTTGTTCAGAACGACCTTTGACCGAAAACCCGGGCACCAGCATCTACGAACAGATCCCAAAGAGGCCAACCAGCTCAAGGCCTCCACTGCCTCCACCCAACCCTAAACCCTGACCACGCTTTACTAAGACCCTATCATACAACTCCCCTTGTAAACAAAATACTGACCACCCTACATCTACAACATTTCAAACTATAAACCCAAAACTCCTCACCGAATGACCCTCTCTGCAATTATCGTTGTGAACAAAATACTGACAACCACAATATCAAATATTCAGAATTTAGCCTTACTTACTGTACACTTATATAAACTGATCAAGTTATCTTTTCTATGTAACTCGAGGCTAGAGACAGTCCTGAATGTCAATGTGTGCCAAAAATGCATCTACAGAAGTTGTGCTCCATTGTGTCCCAATCTACCCTTGAAGTGTACACTTGTGCACTACCCCACAAAAATAGAGAAATTTGTAAAAACACAAGAATCTCACTTTATAAAACCCAGCTTGTTTATTTCCCAAACAAGACAAAGTCCCACCCAGAACCACCTGGGAAATTATCCACTTTTTTTCTGTAGAAAACACCTTGAGGGTTTCAAAACAAATTAATTACTAAATAAAACAAAAAGGCAAAAGGTTCATGTCATTCTTGCATTACGGCTGTAGTCTGACTTGGACACTCCTCTGTATATGTACTGTATGAATGCATGTGCTTGTTTTAGAATAACCAGCAATGAAACCACTAGCCCATTCTCGCCATCGAAGGCTATAGTCCACAAAGCTCATATTCCCCCAATCAATCACAAGGAAGCACATCTTCCCAGATCACTCATATTACCTGTTTTGTTTTACCCCCAATATGGGTAAGTACGTTATTACAGTCACTCCCCTCCCATCCTGAGTTACTAATAACCTTTTCACACTACTGAGCAGAGATGTACTGCACTAGTCTGGTTACACATCCAGCATGGTTGCTAGAACTATGTTGGAAAGGACAAAGTGACAAGAAAATATCTGAGCCAGCACAGTACGGTTTGTGTCAGCACAATAGTGTGAAAAGGTGCAAGTTGATGAACCCAAATCCCCCCCCAGCTAGTTCCACAGTGGAGAGTATTGTTCAGTTCTTCTTGGCCTTGGGCGAGTCGTACTTCCTCTTGCTGGAGAACCACAGGAGCAGGGGGATGCCGATGGAGGGGAGGGTCATTACACCGAAGGCAGCCCAGTCCAGCTGGAGGGAGAGAGAGAGGGGGTTGAGGGAAGAGGGAGATGTGGGGAGGTTACAGACAATTCAAAGCCTGGGTCAAGTTACGCAAGAAAACAGGGAGATACTTCTTAAACTCGTCCATCAAAAACAGATTTATTTTGTTGCAAAACCCTACTGAAGTGGGGTTCTATTTACATTTTATACAAAACGGACAGAGTGGAGAATAAAACTAAATTAACCATGGTTGTTTGCAGTCTAGTTTGTTTAGGGTGGCTGCTAACCCGTTGGTAAACAGAGGCCCTGACAGTTATTTTCAAGTGTCCCATTAATTGAGGATAGGACCGGCTTGGGCGGTATCCTGATTGTCATACCGAACTTGTGCCATACCGGGATATTCGGCAATACCGGCACTGAACACAAGGGTTGAGCGGTTTTCAAACACCACTGATAACATTGCTAACCTTCAGATTACAGAGTAACAAGCACATGTATAATCCCAGAGAATGCTAATGAGCTCATTGTGAACATTAGGTACAGTTTGACCTAAACTATACAAGTAACTCAAAAATGCTACTCAGTTTCCTGCACGCACAAAACAAATATTAGCCAGCAACGCTCTTGATCCAGGACGGGACTCTGCTGTTAGCTTCTTCAAAAATCAAACATTCACTTGCTAACCACTTAGCCAACTACAGTGGGGGAAAAAAGTATTTAGTCAGCCACCAATTGTGCAAGTTCTCCCACTTAAAAAGATGAGAGAGGCCTGTAATTTTCATCATAGGTACACGTCAACTATGACAGACAAATTGAGAAAAAAAAAATCCATAAAATCACATTGTAGGATTTTCAATGAATTTATTTGCAAATTATGGTGGAAAAATAAGTATTTGGTCACCTACAAACAAGCAAGATTTCTGGCTCTCACAGACCTGTAACTTCTTCTTTAAGAGGCTCCTCGGTCCTCCACTCGTTACCTGTATTAATGGCACCTGTTTGAACTTGTTATCAGTATAAAAGACACCTGTCCACAACCTCAAACAGTCACACTCCAAACTCCACTATGGCCAAGACCAAAGAGCTGTCAAAGGACACCAGAAACAAAATTGTAGACCTGCACCAGGCTGGGAAGACTGAATCTGCAATAGGTAAGCAGCTTGGTTTGAAGAAATCAACTGTGGGAGCAATTATTAGGAAATGGAAGACATACAAGACCACTGATAATCTCCCTCGATCTGGGGCTCCACGCAAGATCTCACCCCGTGGGGTCAAAATGATCACAAGAACGGTGAGCAAAAATCCCAGAACCACACGGGGGGACCTAGTGAATGACCTGCAGAGAGCTGGGACCAAAGTAACAAAGCCTACCATCAGTAACACACTACGCCGCCAGGGACTCAAATCCTGCAGTGCCAGACGTGTCCCCCTGCTTAAGCCAGTACATGTCCAGGCCCGTCTGAAGTTTGCTAGAGTGCATTTGGATGATCCAGAAGAGGATTGGGAGAATGTCATATGGTCAGATGAAACCAAAATATAACTTTTTGGTAAAAACTCAACTCGTCGTGTTTGGAGGACAAAGAATGCTGAGTTGCATCCAAAGAACACCATACCTACTGTGAAGCATGGGGGTGGAAACATCATGCTTTGGGGCTGTTTTTCTGCAAAGGGACCAGGACGACTGATCCGTGTAAAGGAAAGAATGAATGGGGCCATGTATCGTGAGATTTTGAGTGAAAACCTCCTTCCATCAGCAAGGGCATTGAAGATCAAACGTGGCTGGGTCTTTCAGCATGACAATGATCCCAAACACACCGCCCGGGCAACGAAGGAGTAGCTTCGTAAGAAGCATTTCAAGGTCCTGGAGTGGCCTAGCCAGTCTCCAGATCTCAACCCCATAGAAAATCTTTGGAGAGAGTTGAAAGTCCGTGTTGCCCAGCGACAGCCCCAAAACATCACTGCTCTAGAGGAGATCTGCATGGAGGAATGGGCCAAAATACCAGCAACAGTGTGTGAAAACCTTGTGAAGACTTACAGAAAACATTTGACCTGTGTCATTGCCAACAAAGGGTATATAACAAAGTATTGAGAAACTTTTGTTATTGACCAAATACTTATTTTCCACCATAATTTGCAAATAAATTCATTAAAAATCCTACAATGGGATTTTCTGGATTTCTTTTTCTCATTTTGTCTGTCATAGTTGACGTGTACCTATGATGAAAATTACAGGCCTCTCTCATCTTTTTAAGTGGGAGAACTTGCACAATTGGTGGCTGACTAAATACTTTTTTCCCCTACTGTAGCTACTAAATTAGCAAACCAAATGCACAACTGCAGAGCATTTAGCACATTCTAGACAGTTAAGTTATAAGATATCTATCCGGCAAACATTTAGTTGTTAATTCCATACTGTAATTAGATCACCTGGCCGCATGCTGCACAACAGTAAGTGACTCACAAGGCTCCCGTCTCTCGTCTTTGTGTGCTTGTAAACAAACACCACGTGACCCCTGACTGGGGACTACCGTACACTTCATAATAATGTGACAAGCGAAATAAAGGCAATAAAATCTCCTAACGTATTACACAAGTTGACTCCAAGGATTTTACTTAAAAAGTAGCTACAAATATAAACATTAATTTTGTAGCCACATGTACACATTTGTTCATATCCTTTGTTAGTTAGTGAGTTATTAGCCCAGTTTTAGATCATTTGCCGGGTCTGACTTAGAATATGTGGACAACTACAAATATCTAGGTGTCTGGTTAGACTGTAAACTCTCCTTCCAGACTCACATTAAGAATCTCCAATCCAAAGTTAAATCTAGAATCGGTTTCCTATTTTGCAACAAAGCCTCCTTCACTCATGCTGCCAAACATGCCCTCGTAAAACTGACTATCCTACCGATCCTTGACTTTGGCGATATCATTTACAAAATAGCCTCCAACACTCTTCTCAGCAAAATCACAGTGCCATCCGTTTTGTCACCAAAGCCCCATATACTACCCACCATTGTGACCTGTACGCTCTCGTTGGCTGGCCCTCATTCGTCGCCAAACCCACTGGCTCCAGGTCATGTAGCTAATTTCCCCCCATCATCGGACACCCACTAACTTCGGACACTCTAGCGGTTGGAGGACTAAATCACCTCGAGCTCAACATTTAAATGGACTGGAAAATAACGGTAAGTTTTGCGACTAACGACACCCTTCTAGCTAGCTGACCACCGATTTTCAGTGCAATTTATGTAAGTTAAGTTAGGTTTTGAGTGTTTTCAAAAAAGATATATATATATATATATATATACACACACACATTTTGTGGAACACGCTGCATATTGTAAAATTCGACTGCGCGACAGACCACACATCATTTAATATCCAACTTTTTACCTCTGAAATATAGCTAACGGATTTTCTAATGTTGCTAGCTTAGTTGCTAAATGTTGATAGAACTGCTAAGACAGCAAAAAGGAAAGAAATTGTAAGCGTTAGATAATACATATCACGAAAACAGCTGAATGTTGTCAAGCTTTACCGTATCAAAATTGGAGTCCTTTGACGGATACGTTTTGCACAATCTACAAAAATGCATTTGGAACTTTGAACCATGAACTTTTTGACACCTATCACTGTTGGCTATGTTTCATCTTACAACAGCTACATAGAGGCAGTATTTAGTCAAATTTTACAATGTATGCATCGATATTAAACTAATTGGGACACTAATTTTCATTACAGATAACATCAAACAAAAAACATGGGTACACTTTCAGTTATTGTGAAAACTTTCATCACCTTTCAATGCCTTAGCTTTGAAATGTAAATGTTTATACATATTCAGATTGAGTTATCTTTCTAAAATGTGTATAGTATGCCAAGTTATTTAGCTACATGTATTAACACCACAGCATGGAGAAAGTCAAGAGGAAGTAGTGGAGTGAGGTGGACATGTTCCATGCCATGGAGGACTGCGGGGCAGGGATGGCTATCCGCCAGGCTGCCAAGGTTAGGCATCTTTTGTTTTTAGGAGATTACCATGTGTATGTGAATTATATCTGCTAGTAACTGTTTTATTTTCTTATCTACCAAGGTGCATGGTGTACCTTGGCAGACTCTGGCGGACAGGCTGAGCGGCGGGGTGACCCATGGTTGTCGCAGTGGACCACCCACATTGCTTGCACCAGAGGATGAAAATTCTCTGGTGCAGTACTGTATCTACTGCGCCAGCCATGGGTTCCCCTTCACCAGACAGAGGCTGATGAAATACTCTGACAAAATACGCAGGTATTTGGTGTTCTATGTATTTACAGTGGGGAGAACAAGTATTTGATACACTGCCGATTTTGCAGGTTTTCCTACTTACAAAGCATGTAGAGGTCTGTAATATTTATCATATGTACACTTCAACTGTGAGAGACGGAATCTAAAACAAAAATCCTGAAAATCACATTGTATGATTTTTAAGTAATTAATTTGCATTTTATTGCATGACATAAGTATTTGATCACCTACCAACCAGTAAGAAGTCCGGCTCTCACAGACCTGTTAGTTTTTCTTTAAGAAGCCCTCCTGTTCTCCACTCATTACCTGTATTAACTGCACCTGTTTGAACTCGTTACCTGTATAAAAGACACCTGTCCACACACTCAAACAGACTCCAACCTCTCCACAATGGCCAAGACCAGAGAGCTGTGTAAGGACATCAGGGATAAAATTGTAGACCTGCACAAGGCTGGGATGGGCTACAGGACAATAGGCAAACAGCTTGGTGAGAAGGCAACAACTGTTGGCGCAATTATTAGAAAATGGAAAAAGTTCAAGATGACGGTCAATCACCCTCGGTCTGGGGCTCCATGCAAGATCTCACCTCGTGGGGCATCAATGATCATGAGGAAGGTGAGGGATCAGCCCAGAACTACACAGCAGGACCTGGTCAATGACCTGAAGAGAGCTGGGACCACAGTCTCAAAGAAATCCATTAGTAACACACTACGCCGTCATGAATTAAAATCCTGCAGCGCACGCAAGGTCCCCCTGCTCAAGCCAGCGCATGTCCAGGCCCGTCTGAAGTTTGCCAATGACCATCTGGATGATCCAGAGGAGGAATGGGAGAAGGTCATGTGGTCTGATGAGACAAAAATATAGCTTATTGGTCTAAACTCCACTCGCCGTGTTTGGAGGAAGAAGGAGGATGAGTACAACCCCAAGAACACCATCCCAACCGTGAAGCATGGAGGTGGAAACATCATTCTTTGGGGATGCTTTTCTGCAAAGGGGACAGAACGACTGCACCGTATTGAGGGGAGGATGGATGGGGCCATGTATCGCGAGATCTTGGCCAACAACCTCCTTCCCTCAGTAAGAGCATTGAAGATGGGTTGTGTCTGGGTCTTCCAGAATGACAACGACCTGAAACACACAGCCAGGGCAACTAAAGAGTGGCTCCGTAAGAAGCATCTCAAGGTCCTGGAGTGGCCTAGCCAGTCTCCAGACCTGAACCCAATAGAAAATCTTTGGAGGGAGCTGATAGTCCGTATTGCCCAGCGACAGCCCCGAAATCTGGAGAAGGTCTGTATGGAGGAGTGGGCCAAAATCCCTGCTGCAGTGTGTGCAAACCTGGTCAAGACCTACAGGAAACGTATGATCTCTGTAATTGCAAACAAAGGTTTCTGTACCAAATATTAAGTTCTGCTTTTCTGATGTATCAAATACTTATGTCATGCAATAAAATGCAAATGAATTACTTAAAAATCATACAATGTGATTTTCTGGATTTTTGTTTTAGATTCCGTCTCTCACAGTTGAAGTGTACCTATGATAAAAATTACAGACCTCTACATGCTTTGTAAGTAGGAAAACCTGCAAAATCGGCAGTGTATCAAATACTTGTTCTCCCCACTGTATGTATGTATGTAGATTGGTGGACTGACTGTTCTCAATGTGTGTGATGTAAATGTGGATGTGTATGGTGACGCCAAAACAAACATTTTCATCCTGGATGGACAATTATATATTATATTCTAGGTTTCGGCACCCAGGGGAAACAATCCCACCACTGGTGAAGAGGTGGTGGGAAATGTTCAGGAGGAGGCACAAGAACCTGAGCATGAGGAGGCCGGACACCCTGGACAGGGGGAGAGCTGAGTGTGCCACACGTCCGACACCACCTTCACTTCTTATGAGAAGCACTTGGAGGAGAGTGGGTTGATAATACGGGGTTCCACGCTATAAATCACTGCTTAGCTCATTGGTCACCATAACAACACCCACCCCTAGTATGCGCTCCAGCAGGTATATCTCACTGACCAACACATTTTACATTACATTTTAGTCATTTAGCAGACGCTCTTATCCAGAGCGACTTACAGGAGCAATTAGGGTTAAGTGCCTTGCTTAAGGGCACATCGACAGATTTTTCACCTAGTCGGCTCGGGGATTAGAACCAGCGACCTTTCGGTTACTGGCACAACGCTCTTACCCACTAAGCTACCTGCCGCCTCACCTCCTTCGGCCGCCATTCCTTCCAGTTCTCTGCTGCCAATGACTGGAACGAACTGCTAAAATCTCTGAAGCTGGAGACACTTATCTCCCTCACTAACTTTAAGCATCAGTTGTCAGAGCAGCTTACCGATCACTGCACCTGTACACAGCCCATCTGTAATTAGCCCACCCAACTACCTCATCCCCATATTGTTATTTATTTTGCTAATTTGCACCCCAGTATCTCTATTTGCACATCATCTTCTGCACATCTATCACTCCAGTGTTAATCCTAAATTGTAATTATTTTGCACTATGGCCTATATTGCCTTACCTCCATAACTTACTACATTTGCACACACTGTATATAGATTTTCTATTGTGTTTTTGACTTTGTTTTGTTTACCCCATATGTAACTCTGTGTTGTTGTTGTTTTTTATCGCACTGCTTTGCTTTATCTTGGCCAGGTCGCAGTTGTAAATGAGAACTTGTTCTCAACTGGCTTACCTGGTTAAATAAAATAAAATGTATAGTCAGCAATGGGGGAGTGTTTGCTTCCTAAAAAGAGCACAAAACGTGTATATTTCTAGACATCGTTGAAAAGAGAGTTGGGTAAAGAGCTTTTATTTACTTAAAAGGGGCAGTGTTGTATTTTGAGACAGACTTGAATAACCTAAGTAGCCAATAGGTAGAGGGTATCATAATGTGTCTGATTCTCTGTAATAATGGTATGGGAATAACAATGCATTTTATTTTGTAAAGTGATTTCTTGCATCAAACACCACAAAAACATTCAGTCACATTCACTGAAGGACAAGTGGATAAACAAGTTAATGTCAAGCCCTGCAAGTTTCTTTTTCAAAAGTCTCATGGAATTTAGGCCTACATTGAACACCACACATTGGCTGCTACTGTAGGCTGAATGATAGAACCGCTATTTCAATGTTAAACTGTTATGGGATGCATTTTCTCCATTGTTGTTGATGGTAGGCCTACATTATGGTTAAATAGCCACAGTAGCCTACTTGACCCCCTTCTGAAACTTTTACTGAAAGCGGGTAAAGCCTCAGTGTTCACAGTAAACGCGCATTGGAAGTTGCACATAATTTTCACAATGTTCAAGTTTGAGCTCAGCAGACTTGAAATTTGCTCAGTGCCTAAAAAAATGTGGGAACATTGACTATCAGTAAGCTTAATCTGGGTCCAGGAAATCAGCCCGAAGGGCATCAAGTTAAACTTTGTCCATATACAGTGCCTTCGGAAAGTATTCAGACCACTTGACTTTCTCCGCATTGTTACGTTACAGCCTTATTCTAAAATTGATTAAATTGTTTCCCCCCTCTCAATCTACACACAATACCCCATAATGACAAAGCACAAACAGGTCTAGACATTTTTGCTAATTTATTAAAAATAAACTGAAATATCACATTTACTTAAGTATTCAGACCCTTTACTCAGTACTTTGTTGAAGCACCTTTGGTAGCGATTACAGCTAAGTCTTCTTGGGTATGACGCTAAAAGCTTGACACACCTGTATTTGGGGAGTTTCTCCCATTCTTCTCTGCAGATCCTCTCAAGCTCTGTCAGGTTGAATGGTGAGCGTTGCTGCACAGCTATTTTCAGGTCTCTCCAGAGATGTTCGATCGGGTTCAAGTCCGGGCTCTGGCTGGGCCATTCAAGGACATTCAGAGACTTGTCCCGAAGCCACTCCTGCGTTGTCTTGGCTGTGTGCTTAGGGTCGTTGTCCTGTTGGAAGGTGAACCTTTGCCCCAGTCCGAGGTCCTGAGCGCTCTGGAGCACGTTTTCATCAAGGATCTCTTTGTACTTTGCTCCGTTCATCTTTCCCTCGATCCTGCCTAGTCTCCCAGTCCCTGCCTCTGAAAAACATCCCTAAAGCATGATGCTGCCACCGCCATTGCTTCACCGTAGGGATGGTGCCAGGTTTCCTCCAGACGAGACGCTTGGCATTCAGGCCAAAGAGTTCAATCTTGGTTTCATCAGACCAGAGAACCTTGTTTCTCATGGTCTGAGAGTCCTTTAGGTGCCTTTTGGCAAACTCCAAGTGGGCTGTCGTGCCTTTTACTGAGGAGTGGCTTCCATCTGGCCATTCTACCATAAATACACTGCTAAAAAAAATTAAGGGAACACTTAAACAACACAATGTAACTCCAAGTCAATCACACTTCTGTGAAATCCAACTGTCCACTTAGGAAGCAACACTGATTGACAATACATTTCATCTGCTGTTGTGCAAATGGACAACAGGTAGAAATTATAGGCAATTAGCAAGACACCCCCAATAAAGGACTGTTTTTTCAGGTGGTGACCACAGACCACTTCTCAGTTCCTATGCTTCCTGGCTGATGTTTTGGTCACTTTTGAATGCTGGCGGTGCTTTCACTCTAGTGGTAGCATGAGACAGAGTCTACAACCCACACAAGTGGCTCAGGTAGTGCAGCTCATCCAGGATGGCACATCAATGCGAGCTGTGGCAAGGTTTGGTTTGCTGTGTCTGTCAGCGTAGTGTCCAGAGCATGGAGGCGCTACCAGGAGACAGGCCAGTACATCAGGAGACGTGGAGGAGGCCGTAGGAGGGCAACAACCCAGCAGCAGGACTGCTACCTCCGCCTTTATGCAAGAAGGAGCAGGAGGAGCACTGCCAGAGCCCTGCAAAATGACCTCCAGCAGGCCCCAAATGTGCATGTGTCTGCTCAAACGGTCAGAAACAGACTCCATGAGGGGTGTATGAGGGCCCGACGTCCACAGGTGGGGGTTGTGCTTACAGACAACACCGTGCAGGACGTTTGGCATTTGCCAGAGAACACCAAGATTGGCAAATTCGCCACTGGCGCCCTGTGCTCTTCACAGATGAAAGCAGGTTCACACTGAGCACATGTGACAGACGTGACAGAGTCTGGAGACGCCGTGGAGAACGTTCTGCTGCCTGCAACATCCTCCAGCATGACCGGTTTGGCGGTGGGTCAGTCATGGTGTGGGGTGGCATTTCTTTGGGGGGCCGCACAGCCCTCCATGTGCTTGCCAGAGGTAGCCTGACTGCCATTAGGTACCGAGATGAGATCCTCAGACCCCTTGTGAGACCATATGCTGGGACATCATGTCTCGCTCCATCCACCAACGCCACGTTGCACCACAGACTGTCCAGGAGTTGGCGGATGCTTTAGTCCAGGTCTGGGAGGAGATCCCTCAGGAGACCATCCGCCACCTCATCAGGAGCATGCCCAGGCGTTGTAGGGAGGTCATACAGGCACGTGGAGGCCACACACACACTACTGAGCCTCATTTTGACTTGTTTTAAGGACATTACATCAAAGTTGGATCAGCCTGTAGTGTGGTTTTCCACTTTAATTTTGAGGGTGACTCCAAATCCAGACCTCCATGGGTTGACAAATTTGATTTCCATTGATAATTTGTGTGATTTTGTTGTCAGCACATTCAACTATGTAAAGAAAAAAGTATTTAAGATTATTTCATTCATTCAGATCTAGGATGTATTATTTTAGTGTTCACTTTATTTTTTTTGAGCAGTGTACCTGATTGGTGGAGTGCTGCAGAGATGGGAGAACATTCCAGAAGGACAACCATCTCCACAGAGGAACTTTGGAGGTCTGTCAGAGTGACCATCGCGTTCTTGGTAACCCCCCTGACCAAGGCCATTCTCCCCCGATTGCTCAGTTTGGCTGGGCGGCCAGCTCTAGGAAGAGTCTTAGTGGTTCCAAACATCTTCCATTTAAGAATGGAGGCCACTGTGTTCTTGGGGACCTTCAATGCCCAGGTCTGTGCCTCGACAAAATCCTGTGTCGGAGCTCTACGGGCAATTTCTTCGACCTCATGGCTTGGTTTTTGCTCTGACATGCACGGTCAACTGCGGGACCTTATATAGACAGGTGTGTGCCTTTCCAAATCATGTCCAATCAACTAAATTTACCACAGGTGGACTCCAATCAAGTTGTAGAAACATCAAGGATGATCAATGGAAACAGGATGCACCTGAGCTCAATTTCGAGTCTCATAGCAAAGGATCAAAGCTGTCATCAAGGAAAAGGGTGGCTTTTTTTGGTTACTACATGATTCCATGTGTTCTTTCATAGTTTTGATGTCTTCACTATTATTCTACAATGTAAAAAATAGTAAAAATAAAGAAAAACACTTGAATAAGTACGTGTGTCCAAACTTTTGACTGGTAATATATATATATATATATATATATATATATATATATATATTATATAACCAAGCACTCCTATAAGAGGTCTTTGAGCGAAGTCTATTATAACCATGCCAATGCTTTGAAAGGATGAATGACTTACATAGTGGGGGGAAAAACGCCTGTCAAACTCCCTCTGAGCCAAGATCCCACCCTGTCCGGGGGCGCTGGTGTAGCCAACCTGCAGGAAGAAAACATAAGGAGGTATAATTTCCTCAAAAGGTCATGAACATCAATACTCTGCATCAGTCTCTAGTTCAATTGACTAGAGGGAGTTTCCAATGATTTGAAACCAATAACAGGAAGTGTGTAAGTGCATAAAAACAATTTATTCAGGAAATCAACACCAGCCTAATAGTAAGCCAGTGATTGTTCGGCTACATTCTGCACATTAATGTAGCAGAGGAAAAATTCCAGGCTGGAGAGAGCAGCAGAGAATAGAGTGAGTCTGCATCAGACCTGAGTTCAAATACTTCAGCTGCTTGATGGAGCATGCCTGTTGCAATGGAACCAATACAAAAGCACAAAAAGTTCAAACCCTGACCACATGCCACTGCTTAAGCAAACACTCAAAGTATTTGGGCCCATATTTATAAAGCATCTCAGAGTAGCAGTGCTGATCTAGGATAAAGTCCACGCTGTCCACGCAATCTTATTCATTATGAAGTAAAAGGGGAAAAACAAATCCTGGATCAGTATTCCTACGCTTTATGAATCCAGGCCCTGCTCTCCATAGATGATTATCTTCTCCCTTACCACAACTTGTCCTCCCTCCTGAGCCAGGTAGCTGACGGAAGCAGAGGTGAAGTTGAAGTATCCGGCCTTCAGGGGGCGCAGTACCACAGTATGAGAGACATTGCTGGCACTGGGGAAAGTTAAGGTACAAACAACAACTGGAGAAACTGATAAGACTTCAGGGTTCAATGTGGGCTTCGTTGTAAAAGATTGATGCTTAGGAGCCATGGCCTTTAACACATTTTAGGATTATGGCTTTAAAGGATACGGGGCGATCCTGTCCCATTTCACGTTCAGCATCCCGGAGACGATGCCGAAATCCTCAGGTGGGAAGGAGTCGTCGGACAGCTCGACCTCTAGGGCAGCACTGTGAAGTGGAGATTGAGAATGAGTTAAGGCGGATTGAGAAACCGCACACGTCGGGATAAGGGTACAGAATTGGGACTCAACCAATAGATTCATTTTCAGCACACTGACTGACATTCAATGCCTTGTCTTGGCACAGCTTAACACACAATGTACTTTTTTCATAATTTACATTTACATTTTAGTCATTTAGCAGACGCTCTGTGGGGCTTCCAACAACGCCCCTCTGAGGCTGGGTTTCAATGAAAATGTTAAGTTTCCTTTTCTTCACAAACAATGACGAACTAGAATGGATGGTTTCCACCATAATCAATGCAGTGTCGTATCAATAATTTCAGATCATTGCTTTTGAAGAATAGGAAGCCATTCAAGACCAGCGTAGTATCAGGTACCATTTGACATAGGCTAGGGAGAGATGGGTGGTGTTGTAAAATACCTGGTTCCAACGTTGTAGATGTTGTACTGCAGTGTGAGGTCATGGCCCTCAACAGCATAACGGTTCAATAGGGACTTGGAAGCCAACAGATGAGCCCCCTCCTCTCCTGTCCCCAGACCCAGTAGAGCCAGTAGAGCAAACACGTACAGGGCCCTCATCTGCAATAGAGTAGGAAAAGTTGTCAATACAAACTCAAGTGGCATTACACAGTGAAAAAGTTGCGTGTGTATTTCAGTTTTTTCAATGCATTTTTGATCCATGACAAAATTATAAATATTAAGAAAAATTGGTACTGTATATTCCTAACGTAATATTTCTAAATATTGTCAACAAACTCATTCACTTTGTATCATAAGCAAACACGAAGTGCTAACTAGCTATGTGACGATAACATTATTTTCTTGGCCAAAGCGACTGCCAATATTTGATCCACTCATGTCAAAACCATAACGTTCTAAACATGGTAGTATTGGATAATTCAACAGAGCTACTTAAAGTTAGCTAGTGATGTTAATATAGATTTTTGGCCAATCTACCACAATCTTGATTCAAAATAGAGCAAACTCACTCAAAGAAAACATACGTGTACATGCTGTCAACTTTGAACTAGGCGCTACGGGATTTATGTGCTAGCCTGGCTAGCTACCTGTAGGTAGCTGGCTACAGTAACTACATTAACTAAAACCAGATGTTAAAATAAAAGATTATAGTTAGCTAGCTTGAATTGACTATAAAAAGACATGGTCAACCATTTTGCCAAACAATGTTAACCAGTCTGAAAAAAATGAACATTACGAGAAGATGCCAGTTAGCAGTTAGATACAGTAGCTAGCTAACATTAGCTAGCAAGCAATTAGCACGCCAAGCTTACGCTTACGTGTACTTGGCTAAAAACTGGATTGACGACTGACAGTCGAGATTGTAGCCAACTTGCAAATTGTAGATTTAAAAATAATACTTGAAAATTTGACAAGCTTTTAAAACGCGTGATTTCTTCAGTCTGTTTGATACTATCAGAAGGTAAAACACATAAAACGCTACATACCACAATTGATAAAGCAGAGTCTTACCTTCTTGTCCTTTCATGTCACCAATCAGCAAGGAACTGTCTTCTTCTTCTCCTTCTTCAGTGGGGTTTATCAGCGGTTGGCATCCAACGTTATGATGCATTACCGCCACCTACTGTACTGGTATGTAGGTCAGAGACAGGGAGAAACTAAATCCTAACTGCCAACCCCGTTTCTCTTAAAAAATATAACGAAATATTTGAAACTATATCTAAATACTCAATATACTCTTTCAACTAATTTCCTGTATCCCCTTCTCCCTCATACTAGATCTCATCCTCTCTCTTTCCCTCTGATACTGCCCACACTGTAGCAATACAGTTGAAGTCGGAAGTTTACATACACCTTAGCCAAATACATTTAAACTCAGTTTTTCACAATTTCTGACATTTAATCCGAGTACATATTCTTAGGTCAGTTAGGCTCACCACTTTATTTTAAGAATGTGAAGTGTCAGAATAATAGTAGAGAGAATTATTTATTTAATATTTTATTTCTTTCATCACATTCCCAGTGGGTCAGAAGTTTATATACACTCAATTAGTATTTGGTAGCATTGCCTTTAAAATTGTTTAACTTGGGTCAAACGTTTCGGGTAGCCTTCCACAAGCTTCCCACATTAAGTTGGGTGAATTTTGGCCCATTCCTCCTGACAAAGCTGATGTAACTGAGTCAGGTTTGTAGGCCTCCTTGCTCGCGCACGCTTTTTCAGTTCTGCCCACACATTTTCTATAGGATTGAGGTCAGGGCTTTGTGATGGCCACTCCAATACCTTGGCTTTGTTGTCCTTAAGCCATTTTGCCACAACTTTGGAAGTATGCTTGGGGTTATTGTCTATTTGGAAGATGCATTTGCGACCAAGCTTTAACTTCCTGACTGATGTCTTCAAATGTTGCTTCAATATATCCACATAATTTTCCTTCCTCATGATGCCATCTATTTCGTGAAGTGCACCAGTCCCTCCTGCAGCAAAGTCCCCCCACAGCATGATGCTGCCACCCCCGTGCTTCATAGTTGGGATGGTGTTCTTCGGCTTGCAAGGCACCCCCTTTTTCCTCCAAACATAACAATTGTCATTGTGGCCAAACAGTTATATTTTTGTTTCATCAGACCAGAGGATATTTCTCCAAAAAGTAAGATCTTACAGTGGGGGAAAAAAGTATTTAGTCAGCCACCAATTGTGCAAGTTCTCCCACTTAAAAAGATGAGAGAGGCCTGCAATTTTCATCATAGGTACACGTCAACTATGACGGACAAAATGAGATTTTTTTTTCCAGAAAATCACATTGTAGGATTTTTAATGAATTTATTTGCAAATTATGGTGGAAAATAAGTATTTGGTCAATAACAAAAGTTTCTCAATACCAGTGGCGGCTCCTGAAAAAATTCTCAGGAGGGGCAATTTTTCTGATGATTTAGGTGACCTACACACATTTAAAAAAAAGATATGTCCAGCAACAACATGAAGACAGGGGCAGCATATAAGTCAATACCAGAAGCATTTATTGACTGATCTCAAAAGTGTTGGCTTACCAGGGTTGGTGGAGCCCTCAGTTTCATCTTTGCCTCGCAAAGCTAACTCAAACACTCCGCAAAACTTCACACACTGGATTAGCCGGCTGAGGATGTGGCGGTTCTTGCTAATGTCGTAGTAAATATATTTGTTATAGTGAATATGGAATATGATATGTTGAGTAAAATGTTGTGCTAAGATCTATTTAGGTCAGGAGCTGGTTATAAGTTCTGTTCCTATCCAATAACAATGGACAAAAGGGTCCTATCTTGTCAGCCTTGTCAGCAGGTGGCCAAGGACAACACCCACGCCATAGGCCTCTCAGTTCTTCCAACTCACGAGTTCTTGCTCTGAGGACACACACACACACAAACACACACACACACACACATCATCACTGTTAAACACACACACACACACACACATCATCACTGTTAAACACACACACACACACACACACACAAAATCCCCTCTCTTAGGCTGAACATTTGAAGACAGAGAACCCGACTCAGAGCCAATGCAACAGTGACAGTAGCCTGGAGGTGACCTCGCCCAACTCATCAGGACCAATCAGAAGATCAGAACTACTAGATTGAACCTACTTCATTTATTGCATAAAATGTCTGCACACAATGTTTCGGGGCTCTCTTCAGATAATAATAATAATAATAATAATATGCCATTTAGCAGACGCTTTTATCCAAAGCGACTTACAGTCATGCGTGCATACATTTTTACGTATGGGTGGTCCCGGGGATCGAACCCACTACCTTGGCGTTACAAGCACCATGCTCTACCAGCTGAGCTACAGAAAGTGGATACTCATGGATGCGCATTGCAATTGTAAAATGTCAACACAATTGGAGACACCACGTCATTTTTGGAGACATGTTATTGACAGTAAACTATTGTAGATGCGACTGCTAACTAAATAAAACATTTTAGCTGGCTAGCTAATCATCTTAGCTAAATGTGGGGCAAACAATTCAGTTATTTACCGTTAATTTGAGGGATTGGGGTGAAAGAAATCGAGTTACATAGTGATACTTTACGATATACTGTATTGACAATATCGCAATATTTTAGCGCTAGTTGGCTGTACCTGCACCAAAACACCATTATTGTTCCTTCATAGCTTGTTCTCAATCTTTTCACATTGGGAGCCAATTAGTTTTCAGCACTTTTATTTCCATGACTGATCAAAACTCGTTCTCATGGCTTTCTGATCCCTCTGCAACAGACATATGGTGCGCAATAAAATCACAGTATCGAATCGCAATACGTATAGAATCATGAGACTCGCAATGCTGATGCATATATCTTATCGTGAGGTTCCTGGCAATTCCCAGGCCAAGTTCATTTGCCACAACAAATCTCTTCGCTAGCAAACGCGATGTCTTCTCCAAAACGACAATGTGTCTCCAGCAATGTTTACTTTTTTGACGTTCTATGGCATCTCCACTTTCCAAGCATATATGACCACATGTAATATTTTGGTAAGTGATGCAAATAGTGAACTATGTAGGGCCAGGATGTAAAATATATGTAGCTGCAGCAATTTCTCTTATCTGATATGGTAAGTAATGGGGCTTAATGTATAGCTCCCTAAGAGTTTGACGAACGGGTCCGTGAACGCGATTCCAGATATATTTACCTCTGAATAAACTGCCTTTATTACACCATATCCACATCCAGTAAACTTGTGATTATCAACACTAACCTCATCGTTGTGGCGGCGGACAGCTAGCCTGTATCCCTCGTCATCCAGTTGAGTGAGTGGCAATGTCTTTTTTCGTTCGTACCAATTTTTGGAAAATCCTCGGGTGTAGGACTTTCCGCCTTTAGTAGAAACCTGTTGAATTATTAAATTTGGTCTGGGAGGTCCTAATTGTTTCGTTGCCAATTTATCTTAATTTGTTCGCCGACAAAAAGGAACTTCTTTCAAAGACACAATCGAGTTGGACTGAAGCCTAGCCATTTTGATAGTAGTAGTGAATTGATTGAGGCTGCTACCTGGTCTTTTCTTAGTTACGTTCATTCGTGGTTACGTTATGTATGACGAAAGCGCGTAAGTGCAAGCCCACAGACACCCATAGAGAATGTATTGAAAGCTTTGAAATGTGAAAAAAATAGATTTTACATGACATGCTATGAGAGACTTCTGGGCGATTTTCAACCTGACTGAAATCGCCCAAAAAACGGGCGGGGCCATTTGAAGCACGACTTTAGCCTGATTTGACATTTAGTGGCTGTCAGATCAGACGTGAACACTGATAACTGCTGTTGCCGTGATATAATTTTTTATAAATTTATAAAAAAAAAAAAAAAATTATTTTTTATTTTTTATTTTTTATAATTGATTAGAAAAAAAATCCCTTCCTTTTCCCGTTTGGCAGTGCGTCGCCCATATCGCCCTATTGAACAAGCCGTCCCTGCTCAATACTTTATTATATACCCTTTGTTGGCAATGACACAGGTCAAATGTTTTCTGTAAGTCTTCACAAGGTTTTCACACACTGTTGCTGGTATTTTGGCCCATTCCTACATGCAGATCTCCTCTAGAGCAGTGATGTTTTGG